TTGGCCCCCACATTTCAGATATTTATAGACATTGATCAGATCCCCTCTCAGTCTTCATTTCTCCAGGCTGAACAGTCCCAGCTCTCTCAGCCTCTCCTCACACGGAAGATGCTCCAGGCCCATCATCATCTTGTGGCCTCCACTGGACTCTCTTCAGAAGCTCCCTGTCCCCCTTGAACTGAGGAGCATTTTTTAGCATTAGAGGTTGACTGTATGGCAGAATTAGCATGAGAAACAAAGACTAAAACTTTTAAGAAACAAAAGCCAGACCACTGCCTGTGGAGACGTGTGTGGGTAGATACCATGTCCAAACTAGATGGTACCCTGACTACAGCAGATGATCCTCCTCACTCAGGAGTGTTTGCTGCTTAAGTGATATGACTGGGAATACTAATGAACTCCTTTCTGGGACAGGTTTGGCCATGGCACTTTCCTTCTTTGCTTGGAGAACATCTACAAGAAGGTGACAGGCCGGGAACTGAAATATGAGGCTTTGATTGGCAAACCCAGCACAGTCACCTACCGCTATGCTGAATACTTGATAAAACAGCAGGCAGAGAAACAGGGCTGGAAGGCTCCCATCCAACGCCTCTATGCAGTTGGGTAAGAGACTGTTTTTCTGCTGATGTCCTGGAGGAGATGCATGCTGACTTCTCTAAAGTTTTGGGTTGGTTTTTTTTAATTGATATTTTTAAAATGAATATCAAAATCCTGCTGGTGTCTCTGGAGCCTCACATCCTGGAAGAGAGGCTTGCTAGCTTTTTGCACCCTACACTTTTAATCATTTGGAGGGTCCTGTCAGCCTAGCAAAGCTGTGCCTGCAGGACACAGAGTGCACGTAGCATGACTGGATTAAAGAAAAAGTTGAGAGACCCAGATGTTGTACTGTTAGCCCAGTTAGGCCAAACACTCCAGGATCATAGGGGATACATTACAGTAACAGCTGAAACGGCTTTGGATGTGTCTTTCCCCTTTGAAAGATGTTTGTGAAGCATGTGGCCTTCACCACAGCTGAAAAGGACACATCAAGAGGTAGACTCACCTGAGTAGGTCCAGTCTGGGTGGTTCTCCTGATGTTAAGCAAATATCTTGCACCCCTTCCTCCCTCAGTGCTGCCTTAGTCCCAGTCTGCCAGAGCCAGAAATTGATGCATGGGCTAGTTTCTAATTTCTGTTTCACACTGTGACCTTATCCAGGGATAACCCTATGTCTGATATCTATGGGGCAAACCTCTACAACAACTACCTCAAGTCAACTCACCAGAACCAGGTCCAGGCTGGGGTGAAGAGGAGCCCACAAGCAGCCAGTCCCCAAACTGAGGATCACCTCCAGCTGTGGAAGGACTGCAACAATTCAGTGGAGAGTTGTGAGTCGATTCTGGTCTGCACTGGGGTCTATCGCCACAATACAGATGTCCCGAGTAACACGGAGGAGTGCACAACGGAGACGGTGTTCCATGGCCATAGGGACTTCTGTTTTGACCCCAGCCTGGTGGAGGCATCTTACATAGTGCAGGATGTGAATGATGCTGTGCAACTTGCTTTCAAGAAGGAGAACTGGAGTTAGGGTTAAAACAGGTGTGCCTAAAAATCTACCATCAGGGATTTTATGTACTGGAAAAGGAAGAAGGGAAGAATGGGGAGAGACCTGGGGTAATCTTCTAATCTAGCCCACGTGAAAGAAAACTCCCTGTCTCAGCACTAAAAGCCCCTTGCTTTTATCGATACTCATCCGCGATCCTGACAGCTGCCAGCGGGCTTTCAACTGTGAATGTACATTGCTGCCATCAATAATTGAGCCATAATGGAAACAGGGTTTAAGGAGAAGGCTTGTCCTAGCAATCCCAGTTTTGTTCAACCATCAGAGTTCTTTTTTTGTCCACCCTTTGTGCATGAAGATCAGGTAAGCCCACCCTCCTCCTCACGATGTGTTTGAGGATGAAGCTCTTCCCTACGCAAGGAGCCACCATCAGCCAATGTACCGTTCATACAACGTACTGTCTGTCCAGTCTGTGAAGCTGTGGTGTGGTGATGCTCTGCCAAGGGAAGGCTTTAAGTCTTAACCTTCTCCTTACAAAGAGTAAGTGCCTATAGACTTTAAGAAATTCTGTTTGCTTGGGAATTTGCCACTACATCACTGTCAGTCTGAAACAAAGTCCCATTTTACAGTCCTCTAGCAGCTCTGGAGAGGCAGGGCCCCTCAAAGGAAGCTGCAGTAGCCAGAGCAACTTGCTGCAGGGCCGAGGGGAAAGTTCTATTATTCCCTCCCCCCACTATTTAGCATTCTGTGAACACTTCTGCCCTTTTACATCCCACTGGGGAGCCAGCAGCCTGCTCTCAATAGCAGAGGAAACCACCACAGAGTCTGAATTTCCAGAGGTGTCTTTGCCCGGAGCTCTGTGTTAGGGCAAGAGCTTGTTTTGGCACGCACCCTGACCCCAAATGTTGCAAGGGACTTCCACCTCCTCCAGCTGGCACAGCTTCCAATGAGGGGCACCTCTTTGGAACAAGAGCTGACCCGAGTCACAGCCCACCTTTGCTTCTTCCTTGCATGCAAGGATTGAAGGACATCATCAAGCCAGGATGGTACTTGAGCCCTCAAAACCCCAATCCTCATCTTTAAGAGTACAAATTTATCTGTCCTTCACTTTCTTTTTTCCTCTCTTCCCTCATGGGGTTTGCAACTCAGGGATACCCCATATAGTCTGATCTCTGTTGCCTCCTCTTCCTTTAGCATGCAGGTAGAGTCCCCCTAACATGAATTAGCAACTGGGACTTGCCTGCCCAGGAATGTTTCCATATCCCTAATAACATGCACCTTGCCTCTATTTTCCTAGCTTGGACTATCCAGAGAAAGACTGAGCCCTGTGTCTCCTTAAACAGTCCAAAGAAGTTAAGCAAGCATTGCTTGAGAAAATTCATGTGAAAGATTGGCTCAGTGAAGAGTGTCTTAATTCCAGGGGAGCGTTGTGATTTTAGAAGCATCCATCAGTCTGCCTGTGTGATGCTGCCTTTGGAGCCAGCACAACTGAGTTGGTGTTCCTAGTTATACTCAGCTCACACCATACTGAGATCAGAAATAGGTCTGCTCTGCCTCCTCTTCCTTCCTTCCTGCTTTACCAGGCAGCTTCATACACAGGCTACACACAAGATGTTCTGTGCAGAAGTCTGGGTTGTTCTTAATTGACATCTCAGCATCCAGGTACATTGACATTCTGCTTCATCAGCTCTCCATCCTCTCGATACTGATGTGTCTTCCTAGGAAGGTCACACTGCAGACCAGGCTCTTATGTTACACCAGGCTCTGTGTCTGAAGGGAACTGGATGCTCTGTCAGTCACCCAGGCAAAGAGGTCCTTCTCCCTGGCTTCTTTCTCTATACATTATTTTCTCAGTAGGAGCAGGAAAACACCTCTTTGGGTGAATTCCCCTCCTGTGAAATCCATAGTGGGAAGCAGTCTCTTCCTCCCTTAGCAGTAGCTGGGGTTCTTCTCCTTTGTCTTATCAGCATAAAAACCACTTGGCTGCTTCTAAAAGCAGCTGTAACGTGACAAACACCATCTTAGATTTGAATCCTTTGCCTTTCACTGGAGAGAAAAAGAAATTACCATTTCATCTACCTACACAAGGACTGGTCTCCAGTTCCCAGAAAGATAAGTACAGGGAAGGACTTTGCATATAACATAGGAAAGGTCTTTCAGAGCACAATTTTGCCTGTGGACTCAGTGTGCAGGCCCTGACACTGAAGGCCCAAACCCCATTTTAAACTAGATCCAGTGTCCCTCAGCCTCAGTTTTCAGAGGTGACATCCAGTGCAGAAAGAAGAATGCTACTTTTCCTTGCAATATTTGCAAATTTGGGTGCTAACTTTCATAGGATTAATTGGGAACTATTTTCTACGCCATGATTACGTAGACCTCAGAGAGCTGCTTGCTGGCAATGACGCCTTCAATTTGATAGATACTTATCTGCAGAAATACCAGATACTTATGGCAGAAATATCTGTCCATCTTCATGCAGTGACCTTTGGCAGAGCTCTCTCTTGTTACTCGTTAAGACTGTGGTGCCAGTTACTCAAAGGCTTGAACCAGTGTCCCCTGAAGGATGTAGCAGTGCTCAATCAGCTCTCCCAAACAGAGCCACGTGCGCTGGCTGCTGCTCTGAGGATGGCAGTAGCTTTGTGGAAGGAACATGTAGGAGAATTTTGAGAAATCACAAGGGGTTTGTTATTTCCCATCAGCATGCATGGCATATCTCAGCCAGAGGTAGGTAACAAGAGGAAGGAGGTAGCATCTCCTTCAAGAAAGGAAGAGCTTTACATTTGCACAGAGAGTAAGACAGGCATCTCCATCTTTGGAACAGCAGTGGAGGTGGGCTGACTGATGTGAATCTGCTTCAGATTCCAAGTCTGCTTTTAGATCCGGATTTGTCTTTTTTGTCATGTTAGTGGAGTTGAAACAGTGCTCTGGGTGTCTTAAAAACGTGTAGGAGGAACTTCAGTGATAAAGAATTTAAGAAATGCTTTGCTTGCAAGTTGAAATTGGACAGAGGGGAGGAGAAGAAAACTAGAAGAATCTTGTACCCTTCCCCCAGTTCTTACCAAGTAAGGTTGCATAAAAGGCTCTGCTTGTTGGTCTGTGCACCAGTTAGTCAGAGGGGCTGCCCTTGGTCTGAGCAACACTGAGACCTTTCTCCTACTCAGCTCCTTTAAACAGTGCACTTTGTCCAAGTCACTGCCCAGGAACTGCTTGGCCACAGTGGAGGGAGTAGGAAATCTGGGTTCTGCAGCTGGGTACTGGATTGTAGAAGGCTTCTACAGAGAAAAGCTCTTGCCAGGTCTCCTCTGTTGTAAGTGTTTTGTGCTAGAGTGCTGTGCAGGCCTCTAGCTTACGTGCTAGTTCATTTATAGACATTTGTTATTGCTAGAAAACACTGGAATCCTTTTTCCTTGGAATTGCACCTTCCTGGAATTAGCTTCAAGTGTGGCTGGAACAAAACCTTTCCTTTGTCTCATGTGTTGCACAGAAGTGGTTATTTCTGAAGTTGTTATTTCTTTCATTTGGAGCAAGCACACTTCTGTGCAGATTATGGGACCAAGCAGGAGAAGGGACTTCACTTGCTCACCTAATACCTTAATATTTATATGGTGCACTGCCCTATACAACCAACATGGTGAAGACCTAATCCTAACAACTCCATCTTCCACAAATGGTGGGTTTGAGTCAGGCCTGAAGGGAGGATGCAGTGAGGTGAGGGAACTGAGAACAGTGTTGAGGAACCAGAGGAGGCATAGGCCTTGTTTTGGATTTGAAGCAGAGAGCTTTTACATCATGCAATAACACAGTGGCCAGAGAGGTTGATTCCTTTATTCCACAGGATACATGCAAATATTAACCTGGTGTTCAGGGAGTCATGTAACACTACTGTCCCCTTTCTTCCAATCTTAATCCTGGTGTGTCTTTTCCCCTCCAATAAATGGGTAATGTTTCAGATGATGTCACGTACACTGTAGCAGAGTGATTACATATCATACAGAGAAATCACAAGCTGTGATTGTTTTAGATTTCATATTAATTTTAACCCAGTTTTAGATTTGCTCCTTTGATCTAGCACGTACAAAAAATAATAAAAGATGTTTTCTTTGAAAGAAATTTTAAGGTGTTGTGTATACATTTCAGAAGTATTGTCCTGATCTCTTTTATGTCTTTGCCCTAGGAGATTATCAGGACAAAAATCTGTCTTTTGTTCTGTTTATCAAGCCATTCTCAAATTTTCTTGAGAGAACCACCCTGAAAGATACCCCTCTGGTGATTCTTTTGAATGGGCTAAACTGTAATTCCCTGTAAACTCTACATCTGCCATAGGTGCAACTTTGACCATTCCCACTCTGCAGGGGAGGAAAAAAGCTATCATCACATCATCACAAGCTGTGATGCCCTGACTGACTGTTTACAGTCAATACTAGTTTTGGGATGCCACATGTATACAAGATCCTTTCAGGGTAGGCATTTAGTTGTGACCTGACCTAAGCAGTTGTTTGTAATGATTACTTCTACTGGAAGCCACAAGCTAGATGCCACCAACTTAATCTGCTGTTGTGGATGAAGAACAAGCCTAAGGGCATATGGAAAGCCATCCTTACCATCAGAAGCTGTCTCAGCACTGTGTTAAACCCTTTGTCATGGTAAAAGAAACCCAACTTGTTTGACAAGCCATGCTCCGGTACCATCAGAGAAAGGTGAGTGGGGTTAAGGAGACATATATTAACTGGCAACCTTTCAGATAAGAGCCAAAAGCTTCCACTGATTTCAGTAGGTGGAAAATTAAAGATGCCAGTAGGTGAAAACCATCAGCTTTCATTATCTAGAAACAGCAAATTGACCTGCATGGTTCTTTTAAGATATTCCACCAGAAGGTTTTCCATCTACAAAGTTCACAGGAGGTACATTAGACAGCAAAACAAGCTTGATTCAGAGTCCTGAGAACTTCTTGATAAGCAGTAAAAGCAGTTTTGGAGGGACAGGACAAGGCTTTGCATTCTCAGCAGAGAAAGGAATCGAGTTGTATT